CCAGCTGACCAGCCCACTAATACATAAAAAAAAAAAGCCAAATTTTAATTTCTCTTCTTTGATATGAAACAACCACCAGTGGTCACCACACTTTTAAGGAAAGGCTCCAACAACAAGGTCAGAGACAAACACAAACAGAAAAGAAAATCTTCAGGTCATTCTACTAGCTGTTCCCTCTGCTGGGAATGCTCTTTCCCACGTTTGCTCTCTTCACTCTTACACTTTATTCTGGACTCGTTGAAATACAAATTAATGAGATATCTTTCCTTACCATTATATCTAAAAATCACCCTTGTCCCACACCCAATTTTTCATCAATCTATTTCTTTACTCGAATTTATTTTTCTTTACATATCAATCACTACATAGATATTTTTATATTCTTGTATATTTGTTGTCAATTTCCCCACCTTAAAATGACCACCCATAAGAGTAAGAGCATTTGTTTTGGCACGTAGTAGACCCCTGGTAATTATTTTTTATTTTATTTATCTACTTTTTATGTAGTAAAAATAAGTAACTTTGGTAACTTACTTTGTTTCGAAACAAAATTAAAAAACAATAATAATTCAGAGAACTAAGAAAAGTTATATCCAAGAAACAATTCAAAAATATTAGCTATACAAAAGCAACAATTAGAGAATAATCTTAAGGTTTCAAAATATTAAAAATTTAAGATTTAGTTGAAGGTAAGATTGGGAAGACTTAATAAAGAAAATCTCCAAGAAAGTAAACAGAAATATAAAATACAAACAATAAAAAAGAAGACTTACTGAAGTGAGAGATTAAGTCTACAAGTCAAATGTCTGCCGTACAGAACTTCTATAACAACAGTAGAAGGGAGGGAACAATTAAAGATATGATGCAAAATACTTTCTAAAATGGAAGAAAAGGGCTCCTGGATGGAAAAGCTCTCCAGGTGTTCTACAGGCACAATGAAAAAGAAAATCATCAAGGTACTGTCTTACAGAATTTCAGAACCTGAAGCTAAAATGAAGATTATTCTGTATAGGTAATCCTCAAAACTGTAATAGGGAACCAAAATAAGGTATAGAGTATATACACATTCTAAAATCCAAAAACATTTTGTATTATTAATGAATATGTAAATATTTAGTAAAACTACAAAAAAACTTTCATGAGAATAATAATACCAAAATCACGATAGTAATTATCCATGGAGAGGGAGAGAAGAAAGTAATATTTAGGAACACAGAGAAGATATCATTTATATGTACAAAATTCTATTTAAAAATGCAAGCAAATGTAGCATAAGATTTCATGAGGCTAAGTAGTGGGCATAATGATATTGTTATAATGGCCTCCACACTTTTTGATGTTTTTGAAATATATCGTTATTTAAAACAAAATGATACAAGAAAACAGGTTCTACAACAAATTGCAGGAAACAAAATAATAACAAATTTCTTAATTGTATTAATGGAAACTAAAAGATAATGGGAAAGTGTCCACTCAGTTATGGTTGAAAATCATATTTAACCAAGGAGTACATATCCAGGTAAAATATCAGTCAATTAACATAAAGGTAGGATGAAAACATTTGAGACTTAAAATTATTCACCTATTCTTAAGAAGCTAGTGAATTATGCACTATGTGAAACAAGAAAGCAAACCAAGTAAGAGAAAGATATGAGAGCTGTTAAGAAAAAATTGCACTGAACACTTGTTAAAAATGACAAGACAGATTTTATTTTAACTACTGCAGTAGGAAAGAAAGATTTCAGTGTAGAACTGAGCTCAGCTCCAAGTTAAACAGGCAAGGACTTCATCCAAGACTTTATTCAAGACTATTGCAATAGGACAGTGAAATTAAACTTCACTCCACTGAAGCAAAAGTTGGGAGGATTTTTAATACCTGGATTAACTAATGGAAAAGTACAGAGGACATTAGGGGGCTAGAGGGTGTTAGTCAATATGAATAGGCCATCTGTGTTTGTTAACTGTCACTTCTCAAAAGCAGGCTTCTGCCCACCCATAATTACATTTCAAAGGGGTGGTTCCCAGGACCTTGAGAAAGACATTCCTACATTTTAGAAATTTAAATCTCCAATGAGCAAAGAAAGAATTTACAACTGCAAGTTTTCTAAAGAAAATGTTCTAAGGAAAATGAAGTTAAAGACCTACGCTCAGGGACAAAAAAAAAAAAAAAAAAAAAAAAAAAATGTATAGACAAGCTAAGAGAAATGTTAAGTCATCTTAGATCTAAGAAACTGAGGATCCAACATAAGAGAGAAATAATAATGTTAAGAGATGTCCAGTTTTAGGCATCAAGTGCGTGGAGCCTGATGGAAGCAGAAGTCTGTAAGATTCTAGGTCAGACATCCCAGTAAAAGGACAAGCAAACAAACAAAAGAAAAATCAATTGGTTCTGAAGTGTTAGAACATGTAGAAATTAATATTGAATGACTTCTCACAGTTCTTTAAAAAGAATTAATGATAGATATGATACAGACAGTGAAAAATATGCCACAAAAAAATGTAATCAATAACAGACAGATAAATGTAAAATCCCCAAACACTTGGAGATTAAACAACACATTTCTAAATAACACATGGGTTAAAAAAGAAATCTTGGGAGATACTAAAAATTATTTTGAACTAAATGAGAAAAATGAAAACACAATATATTGTTCTTTGTGGGATACAGTGAAAGCAGTGCTTAGGACATTTTTAGAATTGAATGCATATACTTAAAAAGAAGAAAGATCTAAAATTAATAACCCAAGTTTCCACCTGAAGCTACTACAAAAAAAAAGAGCTTTTTAAATCTAAAGCAAGCAAAAGAAAATAAATAGTAAAAATTAGAGTGGAGATACAAAATTGAAATTAGAACATCAATTATCAATAAATCCAAAGCTAGTTCTTTGAAAATATTAATAAAATCGATAAGCCTTTAACAAGGCTAAGAAAAAATTAGAGAAGACACAAATTACTAGTATCAGAAATGAAAGAGGGGTCATTTCTATAGATACCTTGGGCAATAAAATGATATTGAAGGAATATTATTAATAACTCTATGCTCACAAATTGATAATCTAGATGAAATAGACAGATTCTTTTAAGGCAAAATCTGCCAAAACTCACACAAGAAGAAACAGTTTGAATAGGGCTAAGTCTATTAAAGAAATTGAATTAATAACTTTCCCAAACAAAAAGCACCAGGCCCAGATATAGTCACTGGTGAATTCTACCAAATATTCAAGAAATAAATTATATTAATTTTCTGCAATCTCTTCCAGGAGATTTACATAGGTAGAAAATCTCCTAACCCATTCTATGAGGCAAACATTAACCTAATAGCAAAACTGGGGAGAGACTGCAGGAAAAGAAAACTACAGGTAAATGCCTCTTATGAATGTAGATGAAAATATCCTCAACAAAATATTACCAAATTCAATCCAACAATGAACAAAAAGAGTTACATACCATACCAAATTGGATTTATCTCAGGTATATAAGATGGGTTCAACATTCAAAAATCAATTAATGTAATCAAAAAGTGTAGTGTTTTTTTTTTGTTTTTGTTGACCACTTAGCAGGCAGCTGCAGCCATAGGCTTTATTTTGAGACTTACCAGGCCTGAATCAGAAACTAGCTTGCTCTATCTCCCAGGTTCCAGGGAAGACATTGAAGCTTCTCTCACTTAGGCTTGAAGGAAAAAGAAATGACTCCCTCTGCTCCCCATCACTTTATGGTGGTGATGAGACTCATAGAACAGCTCTTTCCAAAGGAATCTCCTTTCTAATCTCCATATTCACTATGCACGTTAGCTCAACCCTTTTACATGTTCAGTGTGAGTGGTTCAAGGTCACAAAACCTGATTGAAGGTATATTTTTCTTTTTTCCTTTTTATTGAATTTATTGGGGTGACACTGATTAACAAAATTACACAGGTTTCAGGTGCACAATTCCACAAAACATCATCTTTACACTGTATTGAGTGTTCACCACCCCAAATCAAGTCTCCTTCCATCACTGTTTAAGTAATTTTTTACGCAAGATCTACCTAGTCAATCTAGCACTTTGTTTTGAGTGAAAATGATTGACATCTATTATCTTGTGGCTCTATCACTGAGATTCAGACTATTCCTTTTTCTTACCACTGGCCCCCTCTGTTAGGATTCATCTTCCTCTATGCTTGCTGAGTTTTAGAATAAATTTGATGCATTTCTTTTCACCATGTTCTTGGAAAACATTTTCCCATGTGCTATTGATAGCTCCATGCTTGTAAATGTGATTATAAGCTAAGTAGAAAATGTATGTCTTTTGTTGCATTTATAGCTGCACATGAACATGCTGAACTTCAGCTAAAGAGTTGTTGACTTATTTTCTCTACCCTGCAAGAGTTTGCTAATGATCTTTCTTAAGAAATGTTATGGCTAATTTATAGTACAAGTAGACAAGATTGAAAAGACGCAGAAAAAAATTGCCTAAAAAATTGGAAGAGGAAGGAAAACAAGTAGCATTATGTTTTATTAAGTAAAGGTCTTACAAATTTTAGTACTAGCCACAACATTATGTTAAATTTTGCTGAACTGAAGCACCACTTTAATATTTAAAATGGGCAAAAGGTGCATATTTTAAGGGAAAGAAAAATAGATTTAAAATAAGATGAACTTCACTTGACAAATAAATTATACCCTTTGCAACATTTATAAGTCCTAAGAAGTAAGGACTCTAGTTTTACAATTGATGTAAGTCATTAATAATTTTACTAATAAATATTTTTATTTATATTGTTGTAGTCAGGTGAACCTTCATAAGTAGAATCCATGGATACATAATTTTCAGGTAGAACTGATAGTTTCACTTTAGATCTTTTTATCTACCTATAAAATACAGTAAGAAGAGAGAGGGAATCATATTTAGGAAATCATATAATAGGAATTATATAACAGGAAACTCAGGACAAGTCAGCCCAAATAAGCTAACTAACATTTATAAAGTAATCCTCATACTTACGAATTGCCTTCTTGCAGGAAACAGACCTTATCCTGACTTTTAATATTTCAATGCACCGATCTTGGTGGATGGAGAATGGACCGGGATGTACAGTGACATCAGTGACACCGGCCCCGGACTGGGCCCCAGAAGACCATCGCTACATCACGGTCTCAGGGTGTCTTCTGGAGTACCAGTACATAGAAGTGGCTCATAGTTCCCTCCAGATTGTCCTCGCAGTAAGTGTTCCCAGCCAACCACTCTTTTTAGAGCTTTCTCAATTGTTTTATTTCTGTGCCGTCTCGGTGCACACAAATGGAATATTCAGGGAACAGGTGGTTATTTGCTTTTCCCTAATTAATGCAACTTTTATTTTAACAGAGATTTTGAGGTTAATCCTTGCCCTGGACTGAGTGTGCTGATTATTTCCAGTGACTACTAAATAGACTTTGGTATTTTCAGCATTTTACACAAGAAATCCAGCCAGTTAAGTTTTGATTATTTGGCTGTTGGTAGAATTTTTCAAAAATTCTGAAGGGAAGAGCGGAGATTTTCACAGCTAGCATGCTGTAACATCCCCATTTAGAAGGTTTCAGTGGCTGTGCTCCCCTTCACCCTGTGCTTCTCCCTGCGTGTACTGTTAGTCACGCAACCCCTTCTCCACTTGCCCTACCTTCTCCCTCCTGGTTTCCCCAAAGTATCACCCATCACTTTTTATCCCTCCCTCACTTTCAAAATAATTCAGCCTTTCTATAAATTTTAGTTCTAGGACAATCATGCCTTCCTTTTTCACAGTATTATGCTGATAAAGAACTCTCCTAACTCCTTTTTATTTGTGTATTTGTAGAACATATTTGTATAATACGTGCCTATGTTATATAGAACATTACTTTATATTGTATCACTATGACAAAGATAAGAGAAATAACATTTGTTTTTCAGGAAAAACTTTTGCTAAGGCTAAACAAATAATTTTATGGAACTGGATTTATAAAATTAAGGCAACTTTATTATACATGTTTCCATTTTTTATTACAGATCTATATGTGCCAATTCACATATATTTTTTCATATGCACATAGTCTTAAAATTGTAAACAACTAACGCAAGTATGATATGTTTTTTACCTTTTTCTTCAGTTAATTACTATGGGAATGATATTCTATATGCATATAGATTACAATAAGCTAAGTATGCTGTGCTAAGAAACACTTTCCAAATCTCTGTGAATAAAACCCACAAAAGTTTGTTCTTCTGAGTCAGCAGGAAGTTCTACCATTACCGTCACTAAGGAAAAGAGGCAGTGGGGTAGCCACCCTTGGAGCCACCATGGGTTGCCGTGCCAGAGGGCAAAACCCAATCTGGGACAAAAAAAAAAAAAAAAATGCTCCTCTGTGGGAGGAGAAGCTCATTGTTCACACTTCATTGTTCAGAATGAGTCACACAATCCCACCCAATCACAAAATGTCCAGAAAGGAAAAGAAACTATAAATATTTACAAACCAGTATAAATCATTTCAACAATATATGAATTATGTTCTTAGCTAAATTCTGAGTGATTTTCCTCAACATGTTCAACCCAAGACACTTCTTAATAAACAAACTATTCTATAATATGTGGAGCCTCTAAAAACTCTCCATTTTGATTGTCTTGAAGTAAAGATTAGTTAGATTCGATAGGATGGAAGTAATAATTTCATTACTTAAAATCCATTTAGATGAAGCATTCATCTCTCATGGTATAAGTAAAATATCTCTGGTTTTAGGAGACACATAAAACACCTTCATGTATGTGTTAGAGAGTGGTTTTATATAAAATATTCCTTCAGTTGGAACTTCCTTTTGTACTGTACCCAAACATTTTGGAAAGCTTCCACGTATGTGTCAAGGATACTATAAAGAAAGAGTTTATATGCATGGATAGTTATATATGACTATTTAAGAGTGTTAGTTGAAATAATGTGTACATGTATAATTCACAGATTTATTAAACCCCACATAAAATTTTGGCACACATGCAATCTTCTAAAAAATGCATTCAGATAGGGAAGCATATGTTGAGGCTGACATATTGCCCAAAGAAAAAGTATTTTTACATAAGTAAAAACCATCTGTACAGGACTATAGTACAAAGAAGATAGATAGAGTATCCATAAGAGCAAATATAATTGATATTTTAAGCTTCTGGCTCTCAATTCTGTCTACACGGCTCCCAACTGAGTGGAGGAATTGTTTGAACAAGCTATCCCAGGGCATGGTATTTTTACATCTCCTGTTTCCATCTTTTTTGTCTCGGAGTATTCTTCTTTTGCAATGCCAACTGTGGATCACCTTAGAGTAATTTAGTAACTGTGAACCCAGGCTAGTTGCTTGGAGATCAATATTCTTTCTGTTGTTGGGCTTGCTTTTGTCTCATCAGCTTTACAATTGATGTAAGTCATTGGTAATTTTACTAATAAATATTTTTATTTATATTGTTGCAGTCAGGTGAACCTTCATAAGTAGAATCCATGGATACATAATTTTCAGGTAGAACTGATAGTTTCACTTTAGATCTTTGTAGCTACCTATAAAATACAGTAAGAAGAGGGAGGGAATCCCTCCCTCTTCTTGGGTTGAAAGTCTCTGTTGTACAGAAAGCTTAGCAAATCTTAATGAGCTAGTTTTAGAATGCAAATCAAAGTGGGGCTCCCTTATCTTGAACATTTGGTTTCACCGAATGGAAGCCTTCCAGCTCATTCTGATCACGGTGCGATCATGATTAAAAGTTGAAATAGTGTCTTGAATCTCTGCTCCTCCCATTTTTATGTTACCCAAATCAGCCCCCTGACAATCTAACATTCAGTTCAGCCCAGTCCAGTGAACACGCCCTGAGTGCTTGGCCTCTGCTGGCACCTAGAGAAACACATGACAGCCCCTGGACCTTGAGCACGTCAGTCAAAAATGAGGTGAGGTTCCTAAGGATTCAAAACAAGTGCAAACAGGCACTTTTCAGGGATGTGACAGACAGAAAATACAGTTTGTGTAGCTTGTGGCATAATCTTGGCTTCCTCGTTCCACCCTACTTTTTGTAAAGTCAGCAAAACTCTCACTCTCCTCATTGTTTTCAGCAGTCTTTGAAGCTGCCTTCTCTTCCAGGATATCTGGCTTAGATCTGCTTTCATAAATTGCTGCTCTTCCAGCTACTGCTCTTGATTAACTCCAAATCTCTCTAGTTCTTTTTCTACACCTTCACTAAGCCTTTCTTTCACAGATTCCTGACCCCTGGCATGCCTGTCACCCCATTGTTCGGTTTTCTGCCAATCAACCCCTAGCTGATTTTGAAATTAGCATTCACAAAGCCCTCATTTGCATTGCACGTACATAAGATATTTCTTGTCTAAGCCAAAGGAAGAGGAGTTATCCATATAATTGGGACGAGGGGCTATTAATCACACAGCTCCCAGCCCAGCAGAAAGCACTGCCAGAACACCATAATGATGAGCCAGGTGGGAGAATTTGAGCTCTCCTCCTCCAGCCGCATTTCCTTCTAGTTAGTATCAGACAGCACATTCAAAAGGAATGCAGGTGTGCACAGTTTCAATAAAACTAGAAATTAAAAATAACCCACATTTATAAAATAGATCAAATAAATATGTATAAGGGAGAGCCAGAGAGGAAATCAACTAGAGAGATGGTGTGGTTCACCCTACAGAAAAATTGAGCCAATTTCCTCAAATGTGTGATTGCAACTGCATGGTTTACGAAATGTGTTCACAGGAATTAAATCCTTTAACTTGTGTAACAGTCCTGTGAGGGCAGCAGAACAGGCTTAAAGCTTTTCTTACGATTTCTCTGCTAGTAAATAGGGAGGATGGACATGCTGACTTTTTCTCTGGCACCAACAATAGGAAATAGGTTTCAACCTGCTCGTGAGCTCTAAGCTAATGGGTAATGGATTCCTGAGGCCCCCAAAATTCCTCCTAGTTTAGTGGCCAAAAAAAAACCCCCAAAAGGCACATGATTTATTGGCTATGGGTAAGGGGAATGGAGATATTTACGCCTCATATTTGTTATGCACACATTATACCTCACTTCCTCTAACCAGCACAATGAAAAGGGAGGTTGTTTTAAAAATAAATGTAAATAAATGAAGCTTAGGTTCTTTGCCCACTGCCCTTGGAAATTACGGCTCTCAATGGCAGAGTTTGGTGAAAAGGAAAGGAACTTTATTCAAAAGTTATCCAGGTTTTGAATAATGGCTAAATGTCACCATTAAATCTCAAAATCCCTTTAAAATCCCCAGCAATACACATAGTCGTGCCTTCCCCCCTTTGCCCAGTCAGGCCAGTCAGGCCAGTCAGGGGTACTGTCCTTCAGAAAGAAAAGAAGAGAAGTCCGGAGCTCAGCTAGGTCGACCTGCTGTGGTTCCCAGCACCCTCTGCTGTGTCACTGCGGTCCCCAGTTCTTAATCCAAAACCATGGGGCACCTTCTCATGGCCCACTAGCAAAAACCCTTTCTCCCCTTTCCTTCCCTCATGGTCTTCATACTTTTCCCCCATGGCATCAAGTAAATCATCCTCAAGCTCTCCTGCACATGGGCTATAACCTGAGGACCTTCTCTGTTCGGCTGCTACATCTTGCTTTCCTGCTTCCTAAGCTACAAGGTCAAGGGTGCTGCCCTTCCTCTCCCAAAACCACGTGTTCAAAAGCCTGTAGCAGGCTACTGTGCCTGGGTTTATATCCCGGTTCTAATCTTCCCCCCCAACCCCATTTCCAACTCCCAGTTACATCCTGGGTTTAAGTTATACAAACCTTCCTGGTTAGCCTTGTTGATATGCAAAATAAAACCATCTTTGCATATGAGGTATGAAGCTATCCTGCTGTTATTGACATGCAGAAAGACTCTCAACAGCCCTTCTCCACGCCTGGCATGAAGCTGGCCTGTTATTGATATCCAAAGTAACTCTCACTGGCCCTGCTCCCTGTCTCCCATCCCTCATGGTGTCCCGCCTGCGAGGGGATGGAAGAGTATACTATATTTTTCTTAGACACCCCAAGTTCTGGACGCTGTTACAAATCCCCTCTTTGGGGGAGCTCTAGCTGCACCCTTTACAGAGCTGTACAACAATTTTCTTCCTAGGACAAAATTACTTGCTGCCTGTGATAGAAATGGACAGAGTGACAAACACTCTGCCTCTTTCCTAGCTCTTGTAGTGGTTCAATAGCTTTACTGCTTGGCTTCAGATATTTTACCCAA